ATTTAAGGGTCAGAGAGGTCCTTGACTCAGCCCTATCGTTGCTATTAGGTGGCTCAGTAAGAGGAGCAGAGCCCAACAATAGGCTATGGGCACAAAGTGAGCAGTGAGAATTTTGGCAGGACTCTGGTAAAAGGCTGTCATAGCAGGAAATCTGCCACAGCAAACTTGCACTGGTATTTTGCAGCATCCCACGGGTGTCATTGTGACAGCAAAACAATGAGGGATCAAAGGCAAATACTCCCTGCCCTTCCTGAGACCCCAAAAGGCAGCAGAGCCAAACAGTATCTCCCTCCAGGAGGGTAATGAGATGCGGGGTAGGTTGGAGTATCAGCACAGAGGCAGCATTGGGACTGTGAAGGACACCAAGTACTAGACAGCTACATGCTGTCACCACTGCCAAAGCCTCCCATGTGGCTGTAAAGACCTTGCAGAGCAGCCTGGTCTGCCTGGAAGGAGTCAGGAATGGGATGTGTAACTTATACATACTCACACTATTGCCCAGACTTTAAGAACTGTCAATTAATCTCATTTTTTGGTGGGGAAATGCATCCATGAATCTCACTCCCAGCATAACATGGAGGGTATGAGTTCCCATCAGCTCAGTTCTGACAGGGGCTGAGCAATCAGCAACACCTTCCTTTATAAGAAGAAATGCTGATTAGAAATGCATCCTTGAAGATTACTATGATTTTTTTTCCATGCCCTGGTGTTGGGTCTGTGCCTGTTAGACAATCAGTCCCTTCTCTCCCAGTTTTTTTACCTGTTGCTAACATTTTTTTTTCTAAAAGTTCAATCCTCCTGCCTGATGTTACTCCTGAGAGTTGATGTAAAGAGATTTGACTCAGAAAAGTGTCACAGTCCACAATGATTATATTCTTGTCATGTTCACCAGTTTCCTAATGCTAGGAGTTTTGCCATTGCTGATAGAGTTATAGCTTTTATTTGGGTTATCAATTATAGCAGAATGTACAGTATGTAACCTATTTGGCACTGAACAGCAATAGCCAGTATGTAAGAAACAGCAATTTAAGGTAAGACAGAACTGCTCACCCTCCTGCTGTATATCATGGCCACAGATAAAGACTCTATCAGTTCTAAGGACAAACACTGCACCCATCCCAAATTCTGACTCTAGCTGAATGCCAGACCAACACCTTGCCTGACTAATTGTATGAAAAGTTGTTACTCATAATTTGCTTTTTTCAAGTCAAAACTATTTCATTACATTAAGAATTATTCATGAAAGTGTGGTAGCTGCAGCTTTCCAAAGTATGTTGGATATGGTGCAATATATTATAATTTTGATCCAGTGCGTTACATCATAGATTTCAATCACTTGTTCAGGTGGGAAGTACAGTGCTGAGACAGGATCAAGCCCATCCTCTCCAGATTTGGTTAGAGTCTCTCTGTTTTACTTCCATCAAATTTTCCATATTGCAAGACAATAAATGCAATACATTTTCTGTCACAAGCAGATGGGAGTTGCAAGCATTTTAGGGGAAGAATCAGACAGTTTCAAGAGATCCAGGAGGGGACAACCATTTGTAATCTGTGACCAACGATAAGAAAATACCCCCTAAGGATTATAATCATAAAATACTGTGGGTGGTTCAGAATATGCTCAACAAGAACTAACTGATGTGAGGCTACCAAATGTCAGGGAAGATTATGGATCAATCCCTTCAGCAGTCCCTGCCAGCCTCTGCAGCTGCCCAGCTTCTGAAGCTCCCGCGGCAGGCAATGGGAACGCCATGCCTGAAGGACTGTAAGAAACACTACTGGGAAAAATTGCATCTAGTTTTTTTTTTTCCCTATCTGAAATTAATTTCATGGTAAATTCACTTTCATGCTGCCATACACATGCATTTTTAATGGCTGATTTGCATTTTCATTCAATAAAGTCAGTTCAGTTTGGAAAGGCCACAGGTTAGTGACTAATGCCGTTCCCCTTGAAGAGGGAAGTAAAATTCCCTTTCCCTGCAGCACCAGTTCTCCCTGGCTCGGACACTCAGCCACCTCTGAGCCTGTGGATGTGCCGGGAGGGTGCGTGTGCGTGAAGAGCTGCAGGACTGGGGCACTACTCATTTTACAGTGCTTTTAGCATTTTAAATACATTCAGTCCTGTATTACTTGACCCTGTATCCTTTTACCACAACATGGGAATTCCTTACCATTTTGAACCTATTCACAATAAAATTAATCATGTTAATGCAAACACTGGGAAGAAAGGACTGTGACTGCTAATGGAAAAAAAAAGGCTTAAGAAGTTACACAACACAACTGAACATGAAATGGGATTTTCAGCCTCCCTCTAAACCCACAGCAATACGAGGTTCCTCTTTCTATTTCAGGCTGGTGACTTTTCTGGGTTCCAGAAAGGACTGAGTGCCTGAAAGCACGCATGTTTTTCTCCTACAAGTTTAAACAAAAAATAATCTCTGTTTCTACAAACCTGGCTTTGCCCTGCTTGCTTGGCACGTAGCTGAAGTTTCACATTTTGTTCCAAGCAGGAAATATATGCATGATGATGGAGGAGATTGCCAGCTTTGGCTTTTATTGTTTCGATTAAAGAATATGAAAATGCAAGTCAAAAATATATTTAATATGCTGGTAAGATGACAAAACCAACTGAATCAAAGAGTGGCACCACACCTTGCTGAATACCAGAACGGTAGCTTGTATTTTAAGTGAGATAAAATTATTTAATTTTATGAGATATTTAGATTCTTCTAAAATGTCAGTTATAAGCAAACAAACAAACAAACACTTCCTTACAAATAGCATATATTTCCCCCGAAAAAGTTTGTTGAAAATTCTGGCTCCATTCAAAATTTGCCATTTTTTTCAGCAACCGAATGGATAACATTTTCAAATTCCATTTTTTAAAGTTGAAAATTTCTACCAAATATTTTGAAGACAGAAGACTTACAATTTTTTCCAAAAAATTGTAGAAAATACATCTTCTTATCCCACTTGCTACAATTTTAAATATTCCTGACATATGAAATGCTAGATGTCTGGATGACTATTCACATGGGTAGTATAGTCACAATAATAAGATTAAGCAAAGGTGATGTTCTCCATAGCAAATATGGGAGGAACAGGAAATCTTGATTTTAATAAATAATATTTATTTACATAATTGAGAATATGGCCTGTTCTTTCTACAGTGGCAGCAAGTAATAGAGCAAACTGTAGAATGTTAGAATTAATTAAGGCAAATTTATGTCATTAAGATGCCTTTGGCTTGAAGCATTAAGGAACATGAGCTTTAAATTATTTGATTTGAGGACATAATGTATAATAAGCACAGAGGCCATAGGCATCCTTTTGAAAAAATCGCCAGTTCTGTTACAGATTTTGTAGCGTTTTGAGATCCATCAGCTCAGGTGCAGTCCTGTCTGGAGTGAAATCAGTAAGACGAGGATCAGGACTAGTGCCAGGATTAATTTAATGCCCCGGAGTATTCAGCAACAGATTTTACCTGGCTTCAAGGTGAGGCAGTGCTGTTCATCAGTTCGCAGACCTGATGCAGATCTGCCTGCCAGCACTGGCTTTGTGAAGCTGACTGGTGCCTTTTGCTGCTCGTGCTGGTGTTTTCATATCCTGTTCCACATTGCCCACCTTACACAACGCTGGTGCAGGTGCTCGGCAGTTAAAAGCCACGGCAGTTACCCCGGAGAGGATGAAACACCGCAAAGAGGCTGCTCACAGACACTATGATGAGGAGGGAGGCAGCAAACAGAGGAATGGCAGGTGTTCGCGGTGAGGTTTTGAAGACAGTGTAGCTGTATACAGTGTGTGAATACAGATCTTCTTACTAATTGGAGCCTAACTCTGCTCTTCTCCAGAAAAGTTTATCTAGTGGAAATAATTCCTCTCATTTGAACTAAATAATGTAAATAGCAACTAATAGAAAATAGGATGCCATAGGTATTTTTAACTTTTCCTCCTTGCCATTTACCCCTTAGCAACATGTCTTTTTAATGATAAATTTAATTTTTTAATAGTAACTTCCAGTCAAGGATCTTGAGAACTTTCCAATACTGAACTATCTCTATTTTACATACAAAGAAACTGAGGCAAACACTACTTATTCAGCTCGCCCAGGGTAACAGTATATCACAGCCTGGCCTAGTTCATAAGGCAAAGTGTCCGCTCCTGCTAAGATCCACACCTGTGCTTCATTTCATGCTCTGAGTCACTCAGCTGGCCTCGGTGTAAAGCACCTAAGTACATGTTTGAAGGACTGAAGCCTGCTGTTGACTCTGCACAGGCAAGGCTACAGCCTTGCAAAGCTAAATACAACTCCTGAACCTAACCAGGGCCACACCTTCAGCCTCCAGCCTGGGCCACCCACAGTTAAAGTAAGTGAAATTATCAGAGACACTATGTGGTTACCTGAGACATGGCCAGGGCAGAATCCTTGACTGAAATTTTAAATTCACTAGATGAGTAAAGGTCATGAATGACTGTTACTTGTAAGAGAAACAGAAGTATTAATAGACTTCTCATTAAAATAGTCTCTAAAAAAAGCAAGCTTAAAATATTTGCAACAGTGACTGCTTTGGTAAAACTACTGATGGGCAGTTGAGAAGGAGAGTGTTAGCAGCATGTAAACAGCAAGAGTATCTTCCATTTGTTTCATATATTGGCTTTCACCTTGCCAAAACCCCGTGTGTTTCTCATATCTGTACTACCAAGAAAGTATCACTTAGTGGATAGGGGCAAGGAGGGTTTCACTTACTGCAAACCATACAGAAGAGGAAGATGGCAGGGTTCCCTTACAATAAGCCTGGTCATGTCCTTACACCCAGCCCTGCAGGGCTGATGAGCCACTTTGCAAAATCTGCAGAGGAGTAGGCAGGCTTGTGTCACGTTGTTCAGGAGCAGGGGACAGGGTGGCAGAGACCAAGGAAGGAAAGAAATGCAAGAAGAGCGATCTGAGCACAAATGAGTCTGCTCCTTTCACCCTGAAACTCCTAATTCAGATTACCAGCAGTGCCAATGCCAGGACAACTCTGCTGCCCAGGCAAAGCAAGGCACAGGTATGGGAACTGGGCTACCAGCTCTGGTAGTGTGGGGTTTCCTTAAGAACTATTGAAAGAACAAGTTCCTCCCCATGAGTGGTTCCTGAGACCCCATCACATGCTGTCAACCACAGAGAACCAAGATCAGGTGCTGCAGAGGCTGCCAGTGCTGCAAGGGACAGTGGCCTGGGAGCAGGGCTGTCTGTTCCAGCCCACAGGCAAAGCACCTCCTGGAGCAGTACAGGAAAACTTCCTGCAAAGGGCCTCTCTGATACATGAGCATTTCTTTTTGCCTAGAGGTGATTTTTTTTAAATTTAGTTTTATCTAGACTGAGCAGGCATTTAGAAGAATAGATTCATGGAAAGCAAAGGCAACACCTCCAGTGCAGAGGATTGGAGATGCTGTTGTCATGTCACTGCAGTCAGAGTGACTCCTGCATGTCCATGGGATTGCTGTGGACTGCCTGTGGTTATCTCTGGCACTGAGGTGACAGTCTGCAGAGAGACAAGAAAATAAACTCATACTCTGAAGCAGACAAGAGTGAGAACAAAAAGGAAAGTGGAGACAAGTAGAAAAAGATCAGGTTGTAACTGGCGTGTTTGGAGCAAACATTAGACTTCAATCTTAGTTTGCCTAATTTTAGGTAAAACTTAGAAATAAGATTCTATTGCATCTCGCTGTTGACAAGGCTTGAGACATCTTCTGCAAAATCTGCTGAACACGAGGCACCCTGCCCTTGTGAACAGCACTGACGGTACTG